TGATCCAAGTAACTACATTAGAGATTTATGTGTTTATCATTTGTATATATGGGATTATTGTGTTTATAACAGTGCACGCATAAAAAGAAAGATGGAAATTGCAAGAGAGGGGGCGAGAGAGAGAGGAGAGAATGCGCGCACAAGAGAAAGAGAGAGCGCGCGAGAGAGAGAGAGAAAGACGTGATATTGACACCATGAAAAGGCCAATACATGAATAGTCCTACATCGGCTTTTCCCTATTATACAATCATTTTATCTTGGTTGGTCATGGATTCGCGCATAATCTTCTGTCCGTGAAACCACCACAAGGAAATTTCCACCTTAAATAGTTATTCTCCTCGTCCCCCAGACCTATATATATATATATATCTCTCTCTCTCTCTCTCTCTCTATATATATATCTCGTCTTCCCACTTCTCAATCTCACTGACAAACACGCGTACGCGCGCACAAACACAAACACGTACGCACGCACGCGCGCGCGCTCTCTCTCTCTCCAGATTATCGAATCTTAAGGTTGCTGTGAGCATTTTGATATGACTGTATCTTACGTTTTGGGTTTATTTTCTTAAAAGGTCCACGAAAATTTACTTACACATTATTTAAGTTATGCGAATATTAGCTGACCAGTAAGTAATATTTTGACGCACGATGTGAGTTATAAGAATTGACCAACCTTCAACTTCCTGTTCGTGATATCGCTATAGCAAAGGATCTATACTTACTATAAATGATTCACCCTCTCAATGGCCGTAGCTAGCGAGGAGGAGGGCAGTTGTCTCGACCCCAAACCAATGTAACTACTATTCAAAGATCAATAGCCATCGATCGACGAACTACTTGCGGTCAGTGGCCCAGAACACAACCAGCGCGCGGCTGCCTCCAAGAAAACTAAATTAGCTACTAGCCCCCTCTCCCGATATTAGTGTACCATCAATAATCGATTAGGCAATTGTTAGCTATAATGCATCAGATGTTGACGAGTGCGACAGTTATTGGGTGCGATTATTTGGAATTGCGAAATCTAAATTCTCAGTATGTTCAGTAACATAATCGTGAATTTTACGTCATTTATAGCAGACCATGTAGTATAGCTGAGGCGAGTGATTTAATGACGAATCACCGTTGCCTCCATAGCTCAGTGGCTAGAGCACTGGTCTTGTAAACCAGGGGTCATGAGTTCAATCCTCATTGGAGGCTTAATTACGACCTTTTGGAATCAAGATTTCATTTTAATTAAATGTCATGTTTCATCTAAAAAACACGACATCACCATTCAATTTTGCTCACACCTGTTGAAACTCAAATACCCTACGAAACATTTCAGATATTTATATATAGCAGTGATTGCTGCTAGTTTATTTCACAAATATATACATTACAAATTTTCAACAAATAACTTCATAGCCAGTGATTTTTGTAAGCTTTTCTAGCGTCCACTTCTTTCATTTGTGCTCCAGTAAAAATACCATTGACAAACATTTTCCATCTTTTCTCATGCATTTCAATAAGCAGTTCATAGTTTTAACTTTTTCCAATACCACATAATCATCAAAACAGTATAATAAATATAGCCTGCCAAATTTTTCAACAACACAACATAATTGATTTTGTTACGTAAGGAGAATACGGAATTTAGTTACCATTTTTAAAACCCCACAAATATTGGCTTCTGTAAAATCCTGGCACATAAAGAGCAAGAAATTTAACACTACTAATACAGAGGTAATCCTCTGCCTCTCATTCACTCCAAACCGTTGAACATTTTTCCAATTTTCTATCTTCAATTGTTTCTTTTTAGTACTGCCACATTCCTGATGCAAAGTAGTTGTCACCTCTTTTCCACATACAGCTGCATTTTGAACAGTTCACAATAGTACGATTTCAAAGGGACAATACGAGCATCGCCTTGAATGAGGCGCTGCGCCGTTTCGCATGTTACCCATGGCAAAGCACCGTTTTTAAGCGCAAGCAGCCCGGCTGCCGTGGAGTGCAGCTGCAGGGCGAAACTGCAGTTTCCTAGTGCTTCCATATCTGTATCGCATGCACCAACTTTTAACAGGAATTCGCGGAAGGCTTGCTCCACCTGCACTAGGTACTCATCCCCACCAGCCGACGGTTCCGCAGGCAGCCACACCTCGAACGTATACTTGGTAATCGGTGCACCACTCGTGTCCAGTATCGCCACGACGATACGATCAAGGTCACGGGCAAGTAGGAGTGTTCGTGTGTCACACAGACACGACTGTAAGTAGCTGTTCAACTCTGGGTGAACTGACATCTTTGTTGGCACGCCATACTTCCTGCGAGACTCGAAGATGGCTGACGGATAGACGTCGTGTCTGTAAACAATCATGTGTACCGCCACCTCCAAGAAATCACATAGGATGTCGGCAGCGACATGCAGATAGTCTATGCCATCTGCCATTGTCGTCATACGGGCTGATAACAGTAATTGTACTGACACATGCCAATAGTGCGGAGTTCACCTCAAATTTATAAGGAAATGTATCTCAGTCTAGTTCCAGCTGTTCAAATGAGAATGGGTTTGTGAGATCAAGTATTAAATTCACACTCCAGTGTTAATTTAAGAATACATCACATAGTAACGTTCCTTATTAGTATTAAATTATGAATACTGGTGTAAAGTTCCTGTGCTACAAGAAGTACTGTGCTTCCGATTTGCTTGTAGTTGGAACATACTTGTGTGGGAACGTTTTACAATTAGCACTTGTGTCCTCAAGTCACTGCTTTGTGCTCATTCTGCTGACACACTCTAGCAGGGCGTCGTGCAGTTCCTTTGCAAAGCTGATCTGTGTTTTCACCGTGGCGAGATACTGCCCGTACTGACTGCCTTGTTCTGTCTTATTTCCCGAGGCGACCAATATCTGGAAGTGCCTGTTGCTGTCAATGAATTGACCATGGCACTCTGCTGCTAAAACCTAAAAGCATGTATTAGCATTATGACATACCAGAAGCACATATGTATGCGTGCAAGTCTCTGTGGAGGCATTCATGGTTATGTGCCGATAAAACAACCAACACAAAATTAGCAGACAAAAGAAAATACGATGATATGGTACTTTTGGAAGCAGGAAAAAAAAATTGGGGTAAAAAATTTTCGGGGGCTACTTTTCAAGCTCGCGTGCATGCAAATAGCACTCTAAAATTTGGTTTGCTGTGAACTCTATGCAAATTTACAAGGGCTCGTTTTGCCATTTCCGGGGCTCTTTTTTGCATTTCGGGGGCTAAATCGCCCCGAGCCCCCGTGTATTTTTTTCACCGTTTGGAAGTGTAGGACCTAACTTAACAAGGACTCAGGCCGTGATCATTCCAACCATGGGTTACAATCTCCACACATTACTTATCTAGAGCTTGACAATACCTCCCCACTAAACACAGGAGAGGGGAGAGTCAATCTTACTCCACCCCACAACCGCACAGTGCGCACACAGCAGAATAAATTAAGATGGAATTTACCCTTGGGTTCAATGGTGAACCAGCCACACAAAGTCATGGTGATCATTCTTTACTACACAATGCTACTGTGCATGTAATACCTGTTATTGTTAGATGAAAATATCATTTATATCACGTTTTTGGATAATGTCTGGCAAGTACTTCTTCATGTGTGTATTTCATACACTACGTTTCAGTATACTGTCTGTACATGCTTGTGTATGTGTGCAGAGTGCATGTAGATAGCAGATCACTTACTAAATTTGATTCTATTTGGTCACAAATAGCATAAAACTCTTCCAGTGCTTTGTCAAATCGTTGTTGTATGGTTTCATTAGGTTTCCTGCAAGAACAAATAAGAATTTAGGACACAATATTGACGGTATGTGCAGTTGTACAACATTATTTAAAATCGATTCAAATATTAGCATAGAATTATTATTCATCAAGATGAGTCTTATTCTGAGGAATGTCTATTAGTCTATAAAGCATATATTTGTCCACACTAATTAGATAATTCAACTGAAGATTACCGATGGTTTTAAAATTTTATCATTGAAAACTATATATTTTGATATTATCCACAAAGGTGGCATTTTACTGATTAATTCAAACAGAGCATCTTGATTTGATGTCAATATAGCAATTTATGGACACAACCCATAATTAGTCCCAGTTACACATACATGCTACTGTCAACTGTGGAGTTATAGTAGATGAATTTTGCTGCCAATTGCATCACGACCTGCAAAAATACAAAGTTAAAGTACACAACAATATCGTATGTGCTGTAGTGAATCTCAAAATGTCATTATAGCTATAAGACATAAAACATGCAAATTAATGAAACTTGAAATGATGTAAGAAATAATGATTTTGTATAATCTTTGAGAGGCTGGTAGCATGTAAGCTGCAATTCGTCATTTTGCATTTGAAATGCGCACACACATGCTATGGGGGTACATGCTATGAGTGCACATGCTATAGGGCGTACATCAGCACAGTTCTGCCTTTTAGTGGTTTCAAGATGGTCACCATGTATAGCATGTGCGCTCATACGGTCAGTCATAAAGTTGAGCTACCTGCACCACTAGGCGCAGGTAGCTCAACTTTCTGACTGACCATGAATTGGCTAACCGCTATCATGCACTAAGAATAAAAATGTTATTCTTAGTCTATGCCGCTACACAGTTTCTAATAGTACTATTATACTATTACTAAGTTTAGTTACAAAATTTGATCCCACATCAAAAAGGTACGGGCCTGTCGCGCGCCAAGCGTGCACCAAATCGTAGCGTACTACAGACATAAAAAAATTTATCCCACATCAAAGTAGCAAGGGTTGACTGTGCATGCTCAGTTCAGCTCGCTACGTCACCCCGCAGACAGCTACGGTACTTTTCTGTGACCTAAATAAGGCTATGCGCATGCACATTGCGAAACTTGGCGCACGCTAGGCACCGGATGCAATCAGCTATGCACTGACATTGGCCTCGGAGGGGAAGAGAAAAAGGGGACGACCAAGGGAAACATGGCGAAGGACAGTGGCGAAAGAAAGGATTACATTAGAGTTTAAAATATGGAATTAGGCCGAAAGAGCTGCCAAAGATAGAACGTCATGCAGACATTAAATTTCCAGCCCTATTCTCCACGAGGAGAAAACGAACTAAGAAGAAGAGGAACCGGAATGAGTACAGACACAGCCTAAAGCGGGATAACTTGGTCGGGGATATCTTGCCCCTCCTTCATTTGCGGGGGCCAAATTGGTGCGAGCCAGCGCGTATTTAGAGCGGGATAGCATGTACACACTTCAGAACACTGCAAAAATTTGACGCGCGCCTGGCCCGGACTACTTTGATGTGGTATCAAATTTGCCGTCTGTACGGGGGTAATACTAATAGAGAAAAGTGCGTGAGTATTGCATTTATTCATAAACATTAGTCATTTCCACTTAATAATTAGTTCATATTATTGTTGTTGACAATGTTGTTACTAAATGATTATGATCGTTATTAGAACAGTCCAACTTGGTCTCCAAGTGGTGTACGTGCCACTGCCACATGACGTTTGCCTGTACGGTGTACTGCCATTACTAATGGCATTAGCCGCTATATATACTAATTAGTAATTACTATATAGTATATGGCCCAATACAAGGATATAACAGCTGTCCACATTTGCACATTTGCACATGTCGCACACACAGGCACTTGGAACGTCTCAATAAAAAAAGAAAAAGAAGGTAAATAAACACAAAATGTCTCTTGTTCATGTTGTTTGTGCACAGGGCGGGCGTGCGGTGTACTTGTGTGTTGCAGTCTTGCAGATGAGCATTTGACCGGCATTTACAGGTGATTATAGGCGAAATAGAGTAGAGAAACATTAAGACTTTGGTAGTAAATACATTTTGTGTTTATTTACCATAATTTTTTTTTATTGAGACGTTCCAAGTGCCTGTGGTCGCACATTGCGAAAATGCATTGGGGTCACCTAATACATCATTGAACTCTACACTAGAGAGTAGCAGTACTACTACTAGTACTAGTACGGCTGATAGGGTCTATTTCTCCCTGGGTATTGCCGGAACGTACCCTGGGTATGGTCCGGTAAACCGGAACGTACCCTGGGTATGGTCCGGTAAACCGGAACGTACCCTGGTAACTATCTGATATGGTTAGGGTTAGGGTTAGGGTTAGGGAGTAGGCGTAGGTAAACATCAGGTTTAGCGTCGTAAATTAACTTGCAAACGCCACCGCCAGATGGCGCTACGCGGTCTATCGGCGTTTCGGGCGTATACCTTCTCCCCTTCCTCCTTCTCCACCAGCTTCTCCCCCTCCCCCTTCTCCCCTTCCTCCTCCACCGCTTTCTGCCCTCCTCTTCTCCCAACCCCTTCTCCCCCTTCTCCTCCTCCCTTCTCTCTTCTCACCAGCTTCTCCACCTCCTCGCTTCGTCCACCAGCTTCTCCTTCTCCCTAATCCTCCTTCTCCACCAGCCTTAGTCCCTTCTCCCTTCCCTCCTTCTCACCCAGCGTTCTTCCGCTGTCCTCCTTCTCCCGCTCTCCCTCCTTCGGCGCAACCAGCTTCTCCCTTCTCCCCGCTCTCCTCACCAGGCTCCATCCCTCCCCCTCCTTCTCCCTCTCCTCCTCTCCACCAGCTTCTCCCGCTGCCTGCCTTCTCCACCAGCCTTCTCCCTTCTCCCTTTCCTGCCTCCTCCCAGCTTCTCCCTCTCCACCATACTGATTACGCGCGACCGAAACGCCGATAGACCGCGTAGCGCGTTGCATCTGGCGGTGACGTCTGCCAAGTTAATTTACGACCCTAAACCTGATGTTCGCGGCAGTCCCAGGGAGACACTATAGCGCGGTTCACAACGTACCGTAAAACCCAGTTCGACGCACGTATTCTTAGCGGCACATCCGTACGATACGGTATACGCTGACTTGAGTTAAACAGCGTTCACACGTGAGTTTTGTGCAATGTACGTACGTCGCTGTAGCACAAACTAGTTGGTCAACTATAGTTTTATGGCATTTAAAAAAATTGCATTGTGGATCAACAACAACTGTGTGCTGTTGCTGGTACAGTAATACGGATAACCCCTATTTTCGAAGACAAATTACATGTTTGTGACAGGTCATCTCAAATACCGTGCACACCAATATGCCAACAGTTTACATACTTTATGCATAATTGGTTCAAGCGATAGAGACTTGATGTCCAGGGGCCCGTGTCCAGAAACAAAATTAGTCTTACACATTAGTACTTAACACGAAGCATTTTCTGTAGACCGCCGACACGCGCTTTGGTTTGCCTATTGTATACGCGTAATAGGCTATAGCCGGGTCGTTCACGAGACGTGTCCGCTATCACCGTATAGCCTATACGAAGTAGTAGGAACGCACTCATTTTGTCAGGATAGTGATAACGCGTTTGCGAACTGAGTAAGCTTACCGTGCGTCGTTCAGACGAATGGAAATTTTATCGCTGAGTGACGCTACGAAACTCTGTTTTCGTACCTTGGTACGAACCTGCTGGATTTGCTACGTGTGGCACGCGCTAATGACCCTGGCAGGCACTACGTATTGGGGTATTAGTAGTACTATAGTAGTAGTCAGCTGGCGTCGCGCAGGATTTCGAAAAGGCCGGCGGTGTTAGCGCAGCACCCGAAGGGGGGGGGCTGCGCT